CCTAGATTCATGTTTGACGTTGAAATTAACTTTTGTTTATATAAAAAAACAGTAAATACCATCCTAGCCCATCCCATATGACTCTTAATTACTGTACGATTAGTCTATTTGCAAGACGTGACTCCTGGCAATGATGGACAATTACATCTTCCCAAAGGACACAGGTATAAAACCACAGATTTTGATTCTGTAATGACTGGATCTTACTGTTCAGACACGTTTTGCTTCCTTCTAAAACACCTTTCTATTCACACCTACTCGCATTTATAAAAGGGTCGTTGTTTGTTACAACAATCATTCCCATGAGGTCAAAGCAATTGATCACATAAACGGGTGTTAAAGCTGATTTTACAGTGGCAGAAATCATTTGACTGACGAGTGTAACTTGTTCTGGCCTAATGCTGTAATCACCGAGATAGAGCCCTGTCTGACTACAGACCTACGTCGGGATCTACCTGCTAACTCTAGGTGGGTGTGAACTTTCACTGCTTGCCAAGGTTAAGTGAGAACAACAACAAATTAATGTGTGTATAGTGACTTTCATGTCGGGAGGCCATCCCAAAGCGATGGAACATGAGGCACAAAATTTGTAAAGTCCACACTTCATTTAATAATAATACTTCCATTTGATATAGTGCCTTATCACATCTTCGAGACATCCCAAAGCACTGTAAAGTGAATTGACTATATTTGGTGGGCAAAATGCTTTATTTCACCTGCTTCATTTAAATAGCAGAAGGCCACAGCCATTTCTATTGAAGCGTTCAATTTTAAATCACATTTATTTCAGTAGGTGTGGCACAAAAACTTCATTACATTTTACAGGACACAATACTCGGCAATAAAACCCTTAATCTTTTTTCCCCCCAGATATTTTATTTGTTCAGGATTACAAAAACAAATAGCTTGTAATAGGGACAGAAATAGTCTTTCAGATATTTTACTCACTGTAAACTACAATAATGGATATAGATTGAAGCCCAAATGTTATACGTGAAAGGTCACTTCAAGCAGTGTCCTTTTCATTGCACCCATTCTATCAGGGAGAGGGATTGATATCTTTACTGAATTAACATTTCTACAGATACAGTTTGTAGTGCATGAATTTTACAAATGGATTTTAGTTCCTCAGTAACAAGCTTTCTGAATCCTTTTTTTAAATTTTGAACCAAATACAGGATTGAGTTTAATTGCTAAGAAACCAAACATAATATTTCAGAAGCAGATTCCAGAAACAATGTTTTTGTAGGAAAATAAGTCACAGGATTTGTGTGTATAGCTGGGATGTGTTGAGTCTACTGTGGCCAGTTAGTAGGGATATGTTCATTTCTTATGTGTAGTTCTTGGCCCTGTGGTGTGGTGCAACGCTGAATTAATAATGGAATGGAAATGGAAACGCTCAATAATGAAAATGCATCTTGCAGAACATTGACTTCCATGAGTACAGTCAACCACATAACAGAACGGTTTCATTAAAAGTTCCTCTTTCAAAAATGCTGGATACGCATTTTTACTTTCCTTATAGATCATTGTTTAATAATAATCTTTGCATTTGATACAACGCCTTAATACCTGAAACCCTACAGAGCACAGGATTTACTGCAAAGTGTAATAACTATGTATTTGTAGGTGAATGTAGGTAAATGTGGCAGCCAATTCAGCAATATCCCAAAACCAGCCACTCAATTAATAGCCAATATTTTCCAGAAGATCGATGGCCAGGTCACAGAAAACTCCCTTTTCTTTTCAAACAGTGCCATGGAATCTTTAAAATTCAACTGAACTATAATTTAATCTTGATTCTCTTTGATAATATAAAGTACAGAAATGAAGCTCGAGTTGCTTTTTATATATTTGGGAACTCTCTAAATAAGAGACTATTGAAATAATTAAATTACATTGAATACCTGTTGTGATAATTGCAAATGCTTTTGCTGGATCTAGTGCTGTGTGCAAAATCACCTGTTGGTTTAAAGTTAAGTGAGGAGCTGAAACCATGTAACGATATTGAAACTTTGAAGTCATACTAGGCAGCAAAACAGTAACTTGTGACACTAAGAACAGAATAAGAATAATAACAAAACCACTGAGAACATCACTCACAGTGTTGATATCGGATTCTCTTCAAGCTGCGTGAATGGACTTGGTTTGGGTTCTGCTGTTTATAGCCTGGACTTATCTCTAATCTCAATTTTGTCTTTTTGTCATCATCAGTTTAGAAAATGAGAAATGATTTTAATCAGAAAATATTTCACCGACAACATACGTATCAATCCACTTTGAATCGCTCTGAGACGTCTCAATGATGTGATGAGATGCTAAATCAAATGCAAGGATTATTATTAATATCAATACATACTTTATACCTCAACAGTATGAAAATACAGTAATGTGATTTCTGTTTCTTTTTCCAGTGCACCAACTTTCACAAAGTGTTGTTATGTGAATTTTTTTAGAAAGACGTTAAAAACTTGGAAAACATCTAAACTATTTAATCGCATCCAAGAACAATACATATCTGGCACATTGGTAGTACTGAGCAGTGAAACTAATTGACGCTGTCAGTCTAATTTTCACAATGAAATGCTTAGGTTCTTAACTGCAGCAGTAAAATAAAAAAAGACAACATTATGAGGAAAACATTTGCAACTGACACAGTGTATTTTGAGATCAAGCCACTTACTTTTTGGAAAAGTAATATATTAAGCAATAAATGTTAAAAAAAATTATCCGGTCAGGTAATTTTCTGGTTTTGTTTCAGGATGTCTGTCTTGGATTGGGGATGGGATTGTGATCTTCATCCTGTACAAGGATAGACAAATACTGGAACCCCAAGCTTTTCTTACCTTTAATCTTACCTTCAATATCAGATGCCAGCATTTCTATTTTTGATTATTCACGGGGCATGTTTCAATGTTTTGAGAGATGATGGCTTTCTCATCACCTCCATATGGACTTGTGAAGTGAGTTCTACTGTTGAAATGCTTCAGAGATTAACATGGAGTGATTTTCTTGCACACTTCCTTTTTGTACAGTATTTCCTCCTTTTTGTACAGTACGACACCCAACTCTACCTTTCCTCCTCTACTCTCAACTCCACGACCACCGATGTCCTGACAGCCTGCCTGTCCGACATCGAGTCCTGGATGAGAGACAACTTTCTTCAGCTCAACGTGCGAAAAACCGAGGCCCTCCTGATTGGCTCACGTCAGCGCCTCCGCACCTCAGGCGCCGACACCATCAGCATCCAAGGCTGCACTCTCCACCTCTCAAAGCCAGTCAGGAACCTCGGCGTTTTGTTCGACCCTGAGCTGTCCTTTCTCCCTCACATCCGCACCACAACTGGCACCGCCTTCCATCACCTCCGGAACATCGCCAGACTACAACATTACCTCACCCCTCACGCTGCTGAAACCCTGGTTCACGCCTTTGTCACCTCAAGGCTGGACTATGGGAACGCTCTCCTCGCCGGCCTTCCCGCCACCTCCCTCCACAAGCTGCAGGTCATTCAGAACTCTGCAGCTCGTGTACTGTCCCGCACCAGGCTTCGGGACCACATCACTCCCACCCTCGCTCACCTCCACTGGCTCCCCATCCCCCAGAGGATTGATTTCAAGATCCTCATCCTCACCTACAAGGCCATTCACGGCCTTGCTCCCTCCTACCTCTCCAACCTACTATCCCCCTACCTACCTGCCCGTACCCTCCGTTCCTCCGGCTCCGGTCTGCTCCACGTCCCCCGCCCCAATCGCCCTACCATCGGTGGTCGGGCCTTCAGCCTCTCAGCCCCTAGGCTCTGGAACTCTATCCCCCAGTGCCTTCGCCTTGCTTCCTCCCTCTCCTCCTTCAAGGCCGGTCTCAAAACCTTTCTCTTTGACCGTGCCTTCAGCTCCCCTCTCGACTCTCTTCCCCCTCCTCGCTCCCTCCCTTCCCTCCCCTCACCCTGACCATTTCCCCCCTGCTCGGGTCATGACCCAACTGTGCAGCGCCTTGGGACGTCCTCCTGACGTGAAAGGCACTTTATAAATGGAATCTTGTTGTTGTTGTTACAATCCAACAATGAATCCATACTGGAATGAGGGCATCCTAGAAGCATGAGGAGGCAAAATTGACTGGAAGTATTTCAATATCTATAGCACCAAATATTATATCATAACGATTTTATTCAGCCTGGCTTTAAGAACTGTTTAATCAAAAAAGACAAATCTAGAGACAAATCTCAACCATTAAACTCTTCAAGACAAATTCTAAATGTCACATAACTAAAGGGGCCCCCACTGCAAACCACAATGTCCTAATTATACAAAGACAGTTGAGCTCCCTACGGTTCATGTCACATTGATTGTTCTTGTGGATTAACAGTTTAAAATCTGTCAGGATTGGCTGCAAATGATTACAACATTCACAAGGAGGTGGCTGTGCAAAAGGAAAGTATAAAGGAGATCCTAAAAGCAACAGGCGAGATAATTTTTGGACTAGAACTTAGAGTTTTTAGAGTTTCGAAAGAGGAAATATATTTTTCCTCTTTCACAGTCTTCATCCAGTTTATATAGCAACACAGTGGACCTATGCCATTACTCAGTAATCGGAATTTATGCACATTTGCTCAGCTGTAGAACAATAGAGGTGCTGTGAAAGCCGAGCCTTTTATAACCCTATATTGACATGAAAGCAAGAAGAAATAAAAGTAAAAGTCCTTAATCTTGTGTGATGAAAACCTGTTCATACATCAGCGAGACTTGATTGAAATTACTTGATACTTGCTTCAATATATGGCCCATAGAAAAAGATTAATGTGATTCCATAGGAATTTTAAAAGGTTTCTATTTCCATACATCACGGAAAAAGAACCTGAATTAAGTATTCTTTGTGAAGTGGAGTTTTGGCATTTGTCTCACTGGTACTTGGGAATTAGTAGCAGAATTATTCTTTTCCTCGAAGTATTTGGATTGTATCCTATGGACTGACCAGATTCTGTCTCTTTTAGGTGGATGAGTTTCCTGACTCTGCTCTTCTCTCTGATCAGTATCAACACTTTGACAGGCATCAGTATCATCAGATATATCAAAGGCTCCGAGTCGCATAAGGTAAGCCAGCTGTGCCCTTACTTAATAGCATATTAATTAATAATGTCAACACTAGCATCTGGGTCAAAATGCTGCACAATAACATTCTGTGACTTTTCTTATTAAAAATAATGAGTCAGAGCTAGTTCCAAGACAGCGTTTGAAGTAACTGGAAGAACATTCAGGATTAAAGAGATTTAAAACCGTAAATACATTTCAGGGAAGTCTTATTTTTTAAGCAAATCTAATTAAGAGTATATACTCTGAAACATTCAACGAAAGACTTAACTGTCCTCGTTTCAAAGCAGCTATTTTACCAAGAAATTTACATTATTAGAAACGTATTAAATGGAGTCAAAATATTACAATTAAAGTTGAAGGGACAAAATCATAAATTGACACCACCCGAAACAGTTTTTTACTTGGTGAATATAAGTGGAGATATCATGAACTCAGCCCTTGAAAATGCAAACCATCGATTGCCCTAAAACATGATACTGGGCTGTTACAAACCTAACTGATGGGATGCTACATTCTTGCCTTATTGCAGCTCATAGAGTTGATAGGCAGACGATTCACTGACCCTGTCTGTTGTGTGGATGATAACTCTTTTCTGGTCTGCAACACCTCTTGTAGGATAATAATAATAATAATCCTTGCATTTGATGTAGCACCTTATCAAGTCATTCAGACATCTCAAAGCACTTCACAGAATAAAGAATAAAGAATGTGTATTTTGTGGGCAAAGGATCGGGCAGTTACACAGGTGCAGATGACCTCTTGTAGTTCTCTATTATATCGCCCACACTTCAATTCACTTTACGGTATATTCTGTGAAGCGCTTTGAGACGCCTAGAAGTGCTATATCAAATGCAAGGATTATTATATCACTATAACCTTAAATTGGAGAGATTAGAGCACTTGCCTCGCAAGCGAGAGATCTGGGTTCGATTCCCGGCAGGGGGGAATGTTGGGCAAATTTTCTTACTCCACAGGCCTCTGTTTCCCTAGCAGTAAGAAGGAACCCAGTTGTTAGTCGATTGTCGGATCGCTTTTCCAGGTTTAATAACTCCTTCAAAAATAATAATAATAATTTTCTCACTCAATCAGTGACTGTTTGTGAAACACTGCTGTGCGCAATTGGCTGCCTCATTTCGCCCACAAAATATACAGTCAATTCATTTTACAGTACATTCTGTGAAGCGCTTTGAGACGTCTCGAAGACGTGATAAGGTGCTATATCAAATGCAAGGGTTATTATTATATTTCACAAGGTAAGATAACATACAGCACAGTGTTATGACATCAGAAAAGAATATCAGAGAAAACGATTGATGGGATTGCCTCAATGATGTGACCTTATGAATCTTTACTTTTTACCATTTGATTGGCCGCAAAGCAACGCAACAAGGTAGTTTTCAATCAATAAAGAATGTGGAAGCTGAAGGAAGGAGAAAGGTGGATATTTAATGTAGGAAAGTTAGAAAAAAGTTAGTATGGGTTTAAAGTGGTGAGACGGGAGCAACTAGGTGAATAAATGCTTTTTTTTTACAATAACGTGTTTGTTTGTAGCGAATTACTGACAGTATTATAAGTAGTAAATCTATTCCTGATAGGCCACTTCCTTTATTACTGTAAAACTAGTATCTGTGCAGTGTTACAGTGTGTGCACTGAAAATGTACAGAACTGACAAAATGGATCAAGGAGAATGCAAGGCATTGTTCTGAAATAATAATGATACTAATAATTGCATTTGATATAGCATTTTATTACGTAGTTGAGACATCTCGAAGCGTTTCACAAGATTTACTGTAAAGTATGTTGACTGTAGTAGTTGCAGGCAATGTTATTCGGGAACAATAACATTGCCTGCATTGTATGTAAAGTGGACAGATTAGGGACAATATACAGCACTTTTCTGGTCTGGAGCACCTCTTGTATGATGGGGAGATTACACAGGTGAGGATGACATCTTGTAGTTCCCTTCATTTCACTATAACCTTTTATTATTCGAGAGGATAGGCTGAAGTGGTCCACAATAGAAGTATTCAATGACTGCTTAGCATAACATCAAACAGATCACTGGGAAAGATGCGATACTGGATTTAATGTTCAGGAATCCGTTGGAATTGGTTAGTCACCTCCCATTGAAGGAAGATGAACATTCAAGTTATGATGATTGTGGAGTAGATTCTTTAACACTATCATAAAGGTCAAGTCTATGATTTAATACAGGTAATGCTGACATCTACAAATCATTTGGGCTTTGCTTTCAAAACCTCATCAGAAGCTCAGAAAAGCAAACATTGGTGATGGAAGAAGAACTCTATGAGAAAATGAGGAAGGAAAATGGAATGTTTTGAGAACATTGCATTGTAAGAAATGTGAAAAGGAAATATATCCTTAATGAGAAGTTGAAAGACCGAACAGCCAAGTAGAAATAGTTCAAAAAAAAAGGGTCAAGGAAACTAATAGTGATTCAAGATTATTACAAAAAGAATATTAGAAGAGATAGAAAAGTAATCAAAAGATGCAACAGCAATCTAGCGATCTAGATATGGACAGAAGGTAAACAAACTGATATGTTTGTTTTTAAATTTTTCATAAATGAAAACTGATACTGGGATCGAGTGGGCTTAGCGGAGGAATTAATAATGTGCATAAAAATTAGTAAAACATTTCTTATGAAGAATTAAGCGTGACAAATCTGAAGGTATGTATCCCAGAACGTTAAGAAAGTGCAAGAGGGAATAGTTGAGCCTGGTTAATGTTTTTAGAAATTCCATAAGCTAAGTGGAGGTGGTGGGTGGTGGAATGAGGAGTGTGGACAGCAGCAGATATCTTAATATTCAAAAAATAAGGCACAAATAGAGAATTATAGATTAGATAGGCTAATACTGGTAATGAGGAAAATGCTTGGACGGAATCCACTAGTGCTTTGAGTACTGTATTCATCCATCCATGGCCATGAGGAATAGTTAGTGTGGATTTGGTAAATTAAACATTTACTCTCACAATATATATTATATTTCTTTGAAGACATAACTAACTTCTCTGCCATGATAATCAAGTGGATCCAATCTATCTGGATTTTCAAAACGCACTTTTGATAAATTTCTACAAATGAGACATAAAAGAAAATTAAAGCTTGTGGAAAGAACAGGAAATTACATAATTAGATTTCAAACCGACTAAGTGATGGAAAGCAAAGGGTGATGATAAATGGAAAAGGCTCCATCCAGGTGGCAGTGACTCGTGGAGCTTGTTCTGGAACTTCCACTGTTTCTACTATTTATAAATAGGGTACTTATATTATAAATTTGCTGATGGTCCTCAATAAGGAGGTATAATAAATCATTTCCATCAAGAGTATCTTTTGATTAAATATCAGAGTTAATTTGACCATCACTGCATTAAATACACAGACAATAACTGCAATTCATACTAGAGATACTGTGACAAGTGTTATAATAGTTGAATAAATGTTCTTATTTTTATTCAGAGGTGATCTTTACCTTAAAATAACAACTTGCATGTATATAGTGTACTTCCTGGTATGTCTTGGAGTGCTTAACAGTGGTGGAGCCTAACGCCGAGCTGAGGGGAAGGGAGGAGGTGACCAAAAGCACGGTCAAAGAGGAAGGTCCTCAGGCATGATCTGAAAAATGGAAAGGAGGGGCAATGCAGAGGGATTGAAGGAGAGAATTCCAAGGTTTCAGGGCATAATGCCCGAAAGCACGGCCACCAATGGTGGAGCAGAGAGAAGGAGGGACAAGCAAGAGGCCAGAGCCAGCCAAGTGAAGGTGGTGGAGTGAGGAGTAAACAGGTCGGAGAGGTAGGGAGGTGCCAGGGCGTGAAGGGATTGTTAGTCCATCAGCTAGCGCATGCTACACCGGACCTTGAAGGTGTTGATTTATGTGGTGATTCAGATCTATGGGTGTTGGCAGCCCTCCCAAGTAGCTGTTCTCAGTGTAAGTCCATTCATGAGGGACATCACAGACAAGTCTGGGTCCTCTGCTCTCCCAGCATCTACAATTATATAGTTTCAAGCAGAAGTTACTTTATAGATATAGAAACATTTGCTTTTTTTTCACATAGCCCAGAATGCTGATCTCAACTGTTGATCTCAACTCTCAACCCCACTACTGCCTCTAACTGAAATGCTGAGCAACACAGACCAGGAATTAAACCTGGGATTTTCCTGGTCCGTATGGCTTAACACTGCAACATATATTGAAATTATTTCTTCTTATTGCAATGCACCAGTCACGCTGTAAGATATAAATCAAAGAAAATGTTATTCACATCTTCAACTATGACTTTTTTGAAAAATTTAAATAATCCTAATGTAATTTAATGGTACAAATCAATTTGTAAAGTAATGGATTTAAGCAACATATTAGAGACCACAACAGAACTACATTCTTAAACATGTTGGTTTGAATTAATGGATCATTCTAAAAAAAGTACATGTATACAGATGAGAGCAGCACATTTTTTCACTGTATTCATCTTCCCACTTACATACGAACATAAGAATTAGGAGCCTTCGAGCCTGCCCCGCCATTCGATACGATCATGGCTGACCTTCAGACCTAACTCTAATTACCTGCCCTATCCCCTAATCCCTCTAATTTTAAAAATCTATCAGTCTCAGCCTTGAAGATGTTCAAGGACTGAGCATCTACAGCCTTCTGGGGTAGTGAATTCCATAAATCGACTACCCTCTGAGTGAAGAAATGTTTCCTCAACTCTAAAAGGCTGACCTTTAATTTTAAGACTGTGACCCCTGGTTATAGATTCTCCATTGGCAGGATTTGACTAGTGGAGTGCCACAAAGATCAGTGCTTGGGCCTCAGCAATTTACATCAATGATCTAGACGAGGACATTGAATGTAACATATCTAAATTCGCGGATGACACTAAACTAGGTGCGGTCTCACCAAAGGCCCTATACAGTTGCAGCAAGACTTCCCTACTCTTGTACTCTAAACCTTTTACGTCCTCCTGACGTGAAAGG